TTCCGGGTCCCCGAACCTCCCAGAAGGGCAGCCTGCTGCCCCACAGCCACGGCCAGCAGGAAGGTTTGTGGGCCCACTGCCGGAGGCACTGAAGGCAGCCTGGGCCCCCCACATCACCCTGAGCAGGGTCGCACGCTGCCTCCCACCACCAGTCCCCCCTTCAGGAACTTGCACCCACACACTTGGAGAACATAGTTCCTTGTGTTTGGCTCTGGCCATCAGGACCAGGGCACAGCGAGAGATGGCAGAGGAAGGACGGTGGCACCAATCTCCTGGATGGGCAGCTATTTCCCACTCAGACCTCGCAGGTGGCAGACAGCCTCTAGGGAGGAAAGCGAGATGGCCACTGCGTGCCGAGGGATGAACACAAGTCGGGGGGGAGGGCACATGATTTTCTGGAGGTTCCTGACATCCCTGCTCCCGCGAGAGGGAAGATGGTGGGAACTGGTCTCCTGGACGTGGAGAAGGAAATGGTCAGTGTGAGGAGTGGTGGCCGCTCTGGCCAGTATAAAGGGTCCCGGAGATCCGGTTCAGGATGGCAGGGCCACCACCAGGAGTCCGGGTGGCTCTGTGCTCTGGCTGGGTCTCTGGGCCCTCCCGGTGCAGCTGTGAGCTGGACACATCGGCTCTCGGAGAACACGGGGCCAGAAGACAGTATGTGGCCCGGCGTTAGTTGCTCCTGGCTGCAGAGCCTGGCTGACGGTGCTTCATCCTGCTGCTTTACGTCGAGTTCTGTCCTCATCGCAGGGTGAGGACCACCGTCTGTAAGGCATCTGCCACACACAGGCAGCCACTGTCTGTCAGGCGGGCCCTTCCCCGCCTCCGCTGCAAGAGCCCAGGTTCCTGGAATCCCCGACTGGACCCGGTGACCCGCCTGGGAACCCGGGTCCCGAGCGTCTCTCTTGCTGTGTCTGCAGCCCTGTTTCAGACCCCGGTGAGTCCGAGGTGTTCTCAGCTCTCTGGGACCCTCAGGGCTGGACCTGGCAGGCACTGCGCATGCCCGGCCCTGGGGTTCTATGGTCACATGTTGGTACCCTGCTCCTTGCAGAGGCTACCCCTGGAGTGACTGAGTGGACGGTGGTGACATCAATGTCACCAAGAGCCCTTGTTGGTCACGGTGGTAGTGGTGGGGGTCTCTCCTCTGCACCAGCTGCCTGGGGTCTCAGCCCCCGGGGCAGGCAGGGGCCACACTCCCTGGTCCAACAGGACATGTCAGGTCCAAGGGTGACCCCACCCACATGGAAGGCGGCTTCCAGGACAGGGTGGGGGAGTGAGGTCCTCCGGGTCTGCAACCCTGACCTCCCCACGGAGGAGGAGGGGTGCTCGATCAGAAAAGATCATTTAAAATTTCTCCCCCAGGTCACAGAACAAGTTAACAGAGTCACATCAGCGACCTGGGCCTCCAGATTTCTAGTCCGGCGTTAATTTAAATGTTAATCTGAAATCTTCACTTTAGTCACTGGAGTTTCAAGTTTATTAGAGCAGGCGGCAGGAGTGGGGCCTCATGGGGGGGTTGGCGGGTCACGTTGCCTGCCAGAGGGCCAGCCCTCCTCCCAGCTGGGCCTGCCAACCTCTTCCGTCTGTCTGCCTGCTCCCTCCTTCCCTTTCTCTCTCTCTCTCTCTCTCTCTCTTTTTTGGGGTGACATTTGGAAATGGGGGGATGGTAGTGGATGTCACGGTCCCTGGGGGCCAGGTGCTGGAGCCGATTTAAAGGGGCTCACAGGGCAGGTTGTGTGCATCCCTTCCCAGCCCTGCCGTCAGGGACATCACACAGGAAGCCTGGACCCACCACAGTACAAGTATTCACACAAGGGAACTGGGCCACCACTGCCAGTTGGGACCATCCCCAGGACGCGAGGCACGCTGATGGCAGAAATGAGCGCAGATCGGTGTACTGGGTGATGGAAAGACATTATTATAAAACCATGTATTCTCTCATTTTCCTATTCTGTTTTATATCCTAAGTATATAGGATATGTATTCTCAGCTTGCTGCATAATCATGTACTATTAAAAAAATGGTTAGGTAACATCCCGCCAAGTAGCTGCGCCGTCGTTTCCTTAACTCTTCTACCTCAGCATGCCGGGTTGTTTCAGACGTTTAAAAGATGGATACTTTAGCTTCCAAACTATCTTCGTTGGCAGCAGAGCTGCCTTTTTGAGTTAACCTGGTGCATAATCGGGTTTTATTCATTTGATGATTCAACAAACATTTCGGCCTTGAGGCCAGGCACTGCACCTGGCGCTGGGGATGTGATGGAGGCGAGCAGAGTCACCGTCCTACCCCCGCACTGAGGGTTGTGCAGATGGAGGGATGTCAATCGGTTCAAAGAAGCTCAGTGTCATGATGTCAGGGGAACCTACGTGACAGGGCGGGGAGCAGAGACCGCGATATTTCACCTTTACCCGTCTCCTCCCCGCGAGTTGGGCTGGCCCGCGGCCCGCTGGGACCCAGAAAATGTGTGTGTGTGTGCATGTGCGCGGGGGGGAGCGATGTTGTGCAAATGCGAGGGGCCAAGCCTCAAGGGGCCTTGTGGCTGTCACCTGCATCCTCTTGGAATGCCCTGGCCACCACGTCAGGAGCCCAGGCTGGACTGCCGAATGACAGGCGGTCACGTGGGGATGGGGACAAGTCAGGAGCCAGCACCCAGGCCCCGGGCCTGCGAGGGAGTCGTCTTAGATCCCCCAGGTGAGAACAGCAGACCCCTGAGAGGAACCAGTGTGTGTTTAGGCCTCTGAGTGTGGGCGGGTTACCAGGTACAGGTGGGCTGTACACAGGTGGGCTGGACCTTGTCAGAGAAGTCGGGAGGGTCCCTAAGAAAGGGAGGGTAAGACCGGGAGGGTGAACCAGCATCTTCCTGGTAAAGAGTAGGGAACAGGGTCCTCAGGAGAGGGAACAGCATGTGCAAAAACACCACAGTGGAAAAGCATAGCAGGAGGGACAATAAACAAAATAGCCCATATGCCGGCAAAGGAGCATATGGGGGGCATGGCATGTGATGGGGCTGCGGGGGTGGGCGTGAGCCAGGCCAGGCGGAGCTGTGCAGGCAGAGCAAGGAAGTGTGTGTTTATTCTCAGCCGTGTGGAGCCTCTGCAGTATTTTGAGTAAGGCGAGAGTTGATGAAATTTGTATTTTTCAAAAATCATCGAGGCTACGGTTAAGAGGAGAAACGAGACAGGGACCAGGGTGCATGCAGGTGAGCTTGCTGATGCAAAAGTCCCAGCAAGTGACGACTGTGGCTTGGATTACAGTAATGGAAGAGGAGGTGCAGAGAAGTCAGTGGATTCAAGAGCTCTTTGGGAGATAATAGGATTGGTGATGATTGGCTAGGCAGGTGGGACCGACCCTGCACCCCAACCATCACTTCTGTTCCACTGTCTTCTGTATTAATAAAGTGCCACTCATACCCAGTTATTGGCAGCCATTTGTGTCTGAAAACTGGCCCCTCCCCAGGTCAATCTGGCCGCAGTTGTTCCACGCACGTTGCCAGTTGTCGGTTTGGGATGAGCATGCCTTGTAGTTCTGGCCACTGAGTCACAACGAGAGGGCTTTCCTCCCTTTCGCAAAACAAGAGACTTGCAGGGACATTCCCAAGGCCCATGGCTGCCTCTGCACAGTGCCACCTGCAGGAGGCAGCTGGAAACGTGGCAGTCACCCTGGCACTGTGAGGACCCCGCCAGGGGCTCAAGCCAACAAGCTGAGCAGGCAGGAAGATGGAGAGGCCGGGTGTCTGGTGACAGAGACCACCGTGGGCTGCTTTCTTCCCGACTCCTCATATGCGATGTCACCAGCTTTCTCCTTATCGTTGAAGCCATTTTGAGTTAGGCATGGTGTCACTTGCTTCCTACGCCTGTATTGGCTTCAGCGATGCATGAGTTTCCGAGAGCTGCGTAACAAAGGAGCACAGATGGGAGGCTTGCACAATGGAGGTTGATTGTCTTGCAGTTCCGGAGGCTGGAAGTCCAAGATCAAGGCGTTGGCAGGGCTGGTTTCATTCTGAGGCCTCTCCCCGTGGCTTGTGTGTCTCTGTGCTCTCCCTGTGTCTTCTGGCAATGCACATGTCTACCTGTAAATCTCCTCTTCTCATAGGAAACCAGTCATATCGGATTACGAGTTATTGATTATATCGGTTATTGATTACAACCCTAATCCTCATTAGGGTTTGGGTCCTTAAAGACCACATTTTAACTTAATTATCTCTTTAAAGACCTTATCTCCAAATATGATTCCATTCTCAGGACCTCAACATAGGAATTTGGGGGTAACACAATTCGGCAATAAGGGGAAAGTTCATTTCCACGTATGAGGCGTCCACAGGTCGGCAGCTCCAGCACTGGTTAACTCAGGCCCTCAGTGACTTCCCAGCTCTGGTTCTACTTTGTGACGCTCCTGGCTTTCCCGGCACAGCTGTGAGATGCGATATGTCCGTGGTTCTAAGCTTCGCATCCTCAGGCTCCTACAGTTAGAGCCATAGACGAGTGTTTCCTCACCTGCCCACTTCCGTTTGTAAAGAACTCAGTCCCAGATGCCCCCTGGCAGACTTTCTCTGACTCTCATTGGCCGGAACTGCCCCATGGCCTGACCGACCCAGTCACCCACCGGCAGGGAAGCAAAATTACTATGTTTAGCTTAGACCAATTGACACTCAGCCTCTGGGGCTAGAAGGACACAACCTGTCATAGGAAGCACGTAGCCACGGTATCGCTGAACAAGATGAGGGTTCTGTTAGCAAGGACATGCCAGCCCCGACACCCCAGGAAATGCCCTACTCCAGGCTAATCTCGGCGCTGGGCAGCGATTCAGGGAGGCAGCAGGTGGGGGGGCACTGGAAAAGGAGGCCCACCAGCTGGTGCTGAGACAAAGCCCAGCCCGGAGGCTCTGCAAATACCCAAATACCTCCGACTGTACACCCCCCTCCCCAACCCATCACCACGGCAACCCACCCGCCTGAGCGACTCCCCATTGAGTTTTAACCCAAATTACATTTTCCAGGTCTGAAATCAGAGTCACAGTGAGAAGGAGAACTCATTTTAACGTCTTGCAGGTGCTCTGGCTCGGGGAGGCAAGGATGAAAGATGGATGGAGGAAGGAGACAAGCTCGTAAGTCGTATTTTTAAGTTGAACAGGCAAATCCTGGTTACCCAGCATTGTTTTTTCAGGAAGAAGAGGCCACATTAGGATTTGGCGGCGGTGTTTGTTTTCCAGGGAACATTCTAGAGTCACTATAATTCTATTTATTTCCAGGCTCATTCCAGCCATCTTTGGTGTTCAAGATAACAACGGCCTTTGGTCACCAGGAGATAGTACTGCTCAGCAAGTGCTGTTTACACCAGGAGAAATGTGGACACATCCACAGTTGCTGATGTCTGTCTGCCTAACCAAAGAAAGGCCTCGGCCGACCTCCCGGTGAGCAGAAATCCAACCAACTAACGCGCCGGTTAGGTCTCATGTGGGAGCCCTTCTGTTAAGGAACTTCTCATCTCATTGCTCTGAAGCTCTTGGTCTATGTTTTCTGAGTATTAAATTTCTCTTCTGTAAGACTTGATAGCATTAGGGGGAAGTCCAGAAAAAGCATAAAGCGGGCTGTTTGTCACCTACCCGTTTTCACAAGGCGTAGGACAGAGCTATTCGAGTGGGTCCCTGTTGGTTAAAACAACCACGATGTGATGAAAGGTCATCAGGGGTGGCCGAGTCTAGAACGCTCCGCCGGTGGGGGAGCCACAGACGGGAACAATGTGTGTGACGGGGCCGAGGGACGGGAAAGGGAGGCTACGATCTCCCCACCGCCCCGAAATCTCACAGGCACTTCACTGACCACATTTGGAAAAAGTCTCTGCTGCAGTGTATGCTCAAATCAACTGAGAATTTAGAACTTAGAGGCTGGGGGTGGATGGTCAACGCGGGTTTGCCTGCTTTGTTTCTTTTCAGATCCAGTAGCTTCTATAACCACACGGGGAAGGAGGCATGCAGGGAGACCTCAGGATTTCACCCCCTATAAATGGAGGAGGGTCTACGGTGACGTCCACAGCGATGTCATTTGCCACCTGCGCCTCGGGGGTTGTGCTTGGACCCTGCACGTCTCTACTGACGTGTTGGTCACGAGTGCCGTTCAGCACATCAGTTGGCTGTCCCTCCCCAGGCACATGACTTGTCCTGGCCAGTCAACAGTGGGCAGCTGCCCTGCTGTCACACATGTCCACACATCTGGGTTCTGGCCAGGCCCCTCCGGGCTCTTTGGCCTCGCCGGTCGGGGCCTCATGGCGGGGCTGGCGTCACCAGTGCTCTCCTGGCACCGTCTTGAAAGTCTTATTGATTTGTGATCAGGGATCCTGCGTTTTCATTTCGCACTGGGCCTCGCAAATGATACAGCCGGCCCCATCGTGTACAGCCGGCCCCATCATGGGGGGCTGTAGGTGACCAGCTGACCGCCAGCTCAGGACGGGTGAAGGCCAAGGGCTGGCCCTGTGTACCAGGCCAGGCCAGGGACCTGAGCTTGGGAGGAGGGCACTGAAGCTGGGGAGGCAGGCGTCAGGGGCAGCCAGACCAGCACGTCAGAGCAGGGGGCCCAGGCCAGCATGCCACCAGCACCTGGAGCGCTTGGTGAGCCAGGCTCGCGTCACCTCCCTGATACTCAGGATACACTGGGAAAGCCCAGCGGGAAGGCGGGGACCCCAGGCTACATGCAGACAGGCGGCAGGACAGGAGGATACAAGGCTCTCAGGGGCCGGAACGGAAGGGCCACTTGCTGAGGGAGGGAGTGAAAGAGGCCGGGCCCTGAGGATGGGGACACGGGGACACCGAGGGAGCCTCTGTCACAGCAGCCACACTATTTCTAAGCAGAAAGGCCTGACAGGATGGGACATCTCTGGTTTCTGTAGGGAAGGTGACAATGCAGCAGAAGGCTGTGTGTGGCCGCATCGTGGGGCAGCTCTTACCCAGAGGTCCCGATAAGTCACCCTCCTTCAGGGGACGTGATCAGAACCGAGCAGATCCTCACCGTCGCCGAATTCTGAATGAACTTGTTAAAGCGTTTTTAGTGTAATGAAAACATTAGGTCAATTCCTAGCGGTGACGGTTGTCATTAAATCAATAGCGCGTGCCGGCCATCACGCTGACGGCTGACACGCACGCGTGAAGGTCTGCAATCAGTTGTGGAGACGCTCAGAGTGCCCTCTACGTAGCCACTGGGGCGAGGGCCGAGAGGGGGTGACAGGGAAGATAGAAATCTGCAGCCCAGGAGAAGAGGGAAAGGCCACAGCCAGAGGGCCGCCTGGGGCTGGTGCAGAGACGCGTCTGCACCGGCGGCTTGTACAGCTGGACGAGCGCAGGGGTCTTGTGTTTGCGGTGGGCGCACCCAGTAGGGTTCTCAACACTTACCCCACCTTTATCTCTTCTCCAGATGAGTCAGCCCGAAAAAGTGGACGGTGGGAGTGGGGGCAGAAGGAAAAGCAATGACAGGAGCCGGAGGTCAGCCCCGGAACAGGTGCTGACGTGAAGCCGGGGGTTTGTGGGGCTTTGCTTTCCGAGGGCAGGGCCCCCCTGCAGCAGCTAACGCACACACCAGTGTGGGCTTTGGGAACGCCCAGGCTGAGTCCAGCCACCACACATTGGTCAGCTTTCTAAGTGGGGGTCTGTTAGGAAGTCATGGCCAGAAGGGGCTCCCAGCCAGTGGATTCTGAGGGGAGAGTGGGGCCAGGAAGATAAGAGGCTGGCCCCACGGGGTGGGAGCGCTCATGGGCAGGACTCGGGCCAGGCCCCTGTGCACACCTGCTCCTGGATTCTCCGCGGCCTGCGGCTTCCTCCCCAAGGAGGCCGCTTCCTCTCTGAGACCAGGGGAGCCTGCGCTGCGTCAGGACACTGTCGACTTTCTCTTCTCTGCATTACAACGCTCATGCCATCAGCACGTCACCATTCGGAGCCCATACTGCATGCCAGGCACGTGGCCAGGTGCAGGGGTGACACATAAGACACACAAGGGCATTTGTCCACACGACTCTAAACTCAAGGGAAAGGGCTGCGCTGGAGAGGGACTTCGGAGCTGCTGTCGTGTAAAATAAGGCCGAGGCCCCACCTGGCTGAGATCGCCTCAGCTGACTAGACTGATGGATTCGTCTAATGAAAAACAGATTTCCTGGTTCCAGGAAGAGCGGAGCGGGTTCTTTCTCACCTGGGTGACGGACCTTTACCCACAGACACAGGTGGAGACAGGTGAGCCGTCCTCAGCCTTTCTGCTGCCTCTGTCCTTCCTGGGCCCAGCAGGGGAGAAAGAGGCCGACCTCACGGGGAAGAAGGGAAGGATTCCAGTGTTATCACTCCAAGCCGGGGTCAGCCCTCGCTGGTGCTGGAGAAAGAAAGGGGAGTCTTTCTCAGAGCCGCAGAGGCAGGTCCCTGTGGAAGGAGCGACGGCACCTTCCTCGCAGCATCAGCTCAGCCCCAGACGGCCCGAGAGGTACCCCTGTGCCCGCACCCTCGTGGGGCCAGCTGAGTGTGGTCTGCCTTCTGTCCTGAGAGGCCAGAAACAGCAACTAGCAGCCCAATCACCTGGGGGGCCAGAGGTTTCGGGGCAGGCTGTCCAAGCTCAACCGCGGCCTTGACATTAAAGGGAGGGGGCACCCCAGGCACAAAGTAAGCTCCCAGTATTTAAAGACACTCACTTGTGACTCATGCTGTTGCATTAAATGTGTGAGTCACATGGGATCAAAGTGCTGGATAAAAAGTTAGACACGATTCTGGCATCAACCCTCAGCCTCTCCCTCGGGCCGCCAGGAACGGCCGCACACACTGCACGAAAGGCTCTCAGAGAAATGGCCACCGATCCCAGACTTCCAGGAGGGGAGCCCAGTCCAGGCCACTCTGCAAACAGCCTCTCTCAGCAAAAAGGACAACAATTTGTGGTAAAGTGGCAAAGGATGCTGATTTCATGCATTTTATTGCTAATATTACTCCTAAAACGAGGGCGGGCAGGCTTCCCGCCCCCATCCCCTCCCCGCCCGCCATGGGTAAACGTTCCTGAATTCTAGTCCTTCGTGAGGAAGAATTAGGAGACCTGCGCCAGGACCCAGAGCCTCTGCATCCGCCGTCAGTGTGAAGGCTGTTTGTGCTCCAGTCACACATGGATTTAACCAAATGGAAGGGGACACCCCCTCTCAGGTGTCCCCAAGTGACTCTGCTTCAAACAGAAAGAAACGTGGACAGTGATGTGAACAGAGCAATACAGAATGAGAGCGAAAACGGACGAAACGTGGGAGAGGATTTCACCAGTGGAGCTGGGCTGGTGAGACAGTGCGAGGGCCACCCTCACCCCCTTGCTTGGTGCCTCAGTTTCCCTGTTCCACTCCCCCTTTCCAAGGCCTGGAGACCACCTGCCTGCTCCCCATTTGCACCCGCCTAGTGTACCAAGCCCTACACCCTGCTGTGTTCAATCTCATCAGTAAGTTAAAAAAAAAAAAAATTGAGACTCCCAGACCTATGTCTATTTAAAATTTTACACGCACACCCCCTCCATGCCACCCGCTCCAGCTCTCACCACTCTGCTCCCAGCCCACTGTCCCCTCCCCACCTTGGCTGGAAGTCCCCCTAGGCGCCCAGCCCCACCAAGCCCTCCGAGCCCTCTGCCAGCCCCTTGGCCCCACACGATGCACCTGCAGGACACGCCCCCCCCCACTGTCCCAGAGCCCGGTGGGGAAGCCACACAGGTCACGGCAGTGGCCTCTACCTGGCAGAGGTTGGACTTGCACAACTGGCCTGCCTCCAGCCCAGAGACCCAGGGCCACGTGACAGGGACAGATGTACAGAAGCAAACCACAGAGCTAGACTCGGCTGTGAGCGCAGGGCCAGCGGAAGGTTCTGGGCGCTTCTGTCCCGGCGTTGGTGCCTCCTCCTCTCATGTACCCGTCGGCATCACATGGGCAATCTTTATTCAGTCCCCAGTCACTGCCATTACCTGGGTGAGACTGAAGGAATACCCCCCCTGCCTTTTGTCCTCTGACCCGGGGACGCCTGTGGGTTCTGTGACCCAAAAGGCAAGATTTCAGCCAGAAAACCAGGCAGTGCGTGTTTTCAAGTCAATTGTATGAAGCTGATACCCAGTAGCCCCATGACACGCGTCACCAAAGTGCTCAAGGGCAGATACGCCAGTCTGACCCCCAGAGCTGAGCTGGAAAATGAGGCTCAGAGAGATGAAATGAGGCCTCAGACCCCACAGCCAGGGTGGCAGAGGGGCTGGTCCTGGAGCCTCTATGCAGCTGCCACAGCCTCTGAACGCCGGGCCTGGCAATGGGGGCTGAGTCAGACCCCAGAGGGCTGTGCCTGTGGGTGCCGCGGGGGGGCACGGAAGGGGCTTGCCCAGTGGCTGTCCCCTGCTGCCCCTGCATGCACTCACCTCCACAGAACGCGACGGGGTCCCGGGCGGGTGCCGGCCACACCTGCAGCGCCAGCAGAATCACGGGCAGCTGTGCGGGCCCCATGCCTGGTCGGGCCACTGTGTGCCACCAAGTGAATGGCAGTCGAGAGCTGCTGTGCGGGCCCCATGCCTGGAGCAGGTCTCCCGGCGGTCGGGCCACTGTGTGCCACCAAGTGAATGGCAGTCGAGAGCTGCTGTGCGGGCCCCATGCCTGGAGCAGGTCTCCCGGCGGTCGGGCCACTGTGTGCCACCAAGTGAATGGCAGTCGAGAGCTGCTGCCTCGTCACCCTGGAGACCAGTGCCAGCTCCACAGGGACTGCACCTGCTCCCACCTAGGTGCGCAGTGCAGCAGCCTCCGCTGGCTGGTCACCGCCCCGTCCCCTCCCCTGCACCTGGTTCCCAGCCTGTTCCTACTGAACTTCTATCCGGTCCCCACCCTGCCTCACCGCATCTGCTGGGGTGTGTTGGTTTTGGGTGGCACCTCAGGAGCTACAGGAAAACTGTGGCACAGAGCCCCGAGTGCCGGTAAAAGTGAGTCCGCACATGTCAGGTCACTCCTGCGGGCCTTGTCCTCAACAGGGCTACAGTTGGTTGGAAAAAACGTCCTTCTGAGAAGCTCCTCCTAGCTGTCACTCCTTCCCCCGCCCCCAAAGGCCCCCTTTCCTGGATTCTGAGGGCACACTAGCCCGTCCTTCTCCAGGGCACGCCCCTCCCACCCCGCCATGGCCCTTGTCCCTGGTACCTTTCCAATGGCCCGGTCCTTCCCAAGTAAACTAAATATTATGAAAGGGCTAAGGAATGAAGTATCAATTTACATTTTCACAGGACACTGCCTTCAAAAGACAGCAGGCTGTGTTTCTTCCAAATGAGTCTCATGGAAATCGCAGTATGAAAAGCAGCTAAGCGCCATGGCCCCTGGGGTAACGCGACCCACACGGCCCCAGGGCCACCCTCCCCACCCAGCTCAGGCTGGAGGGCAGCCTGGGTGCAGAAACAAGGATATTTCGGGACAGTGAGGAAAATGCTTTTTATATTTCTTCCAAATAATCTGAACCATTTCCTTCAAATTCACCTGATGTCCATTATCTGTGAGTGCGCTGAAGGTGCTAACTCTGTCTTGTTTGATTTTCAGTGTCTGTTCCCTAAAACAATGCAGACCCAACAAAGATGAAAGTACGGCGTATTTAGAAGGAGATGGGGGAGGGGAAAGGAGAGTGAGAGAGAGAAAGAGAGACTGGGGCATGGTTTTAATAAATAATAGCGTATTATACTTCCTGGGGCTTGCTGTGTACCAGGCTCTATGTGTTAACTGGACAATCACCTTTCACTCACACAGCACGCCCATTCTGCAGACAGGAGACCCAGCTTAAGGGAGATGTAGTCATTTGCTCATGGGCACTAGTTTGTATGTTTAGTGCCGTGATTTTATTGTTTTATTTTATTTTTTTTATTATTATTTTTTTAAGATTTTAATTGGGGAATTGGGGGGATGGGAACAGTGTTGGGGAATTGGGGGAAGGGAAACAGACAAGTTGCTGTCGTTTTGTTCTTCAGTCTAGTTATGGAGGACGTTGCTTCACTGGCCCAAGTTGGCACCATCATTGCGCTCTTCCCGGGTGAGGCAGATCAGTCGCCGGCTTCTGGACGGCTGCTCACGGTGGCTGCTGGCCGCTCACGCTGGCTGCTGGCTACACACGGTAGCCCATGGCAACCCACTGCCACAGGGGCTGCAGCCTATGCCGTCGCCGGCGACTCACGGCAGCCCAGCTCCAGGTTGAGCTGTTGTTCAGCATCTTAGCTGTGGAGGGCAGTGTCACTGGCCCTCATATGTGGGATCCGAACCGGGGCGCTCTGGCGTCTCAAGCCAGTTCTTAACCATCGCGCCACTCGGCCGGCCCGCCGTGATTTCATTGTTAATCAGGGCAGCAGCGTGCCCAGCTAGAAAACCCCTGTCCCCAGCTCCCTAGGTATGACTAAGTTCTGGCCAGTGAGAAGTAAGCAGGAGTCGGTGGGACTTCTGAAAACGCGATAAAAGCTGGAAGACAGCTGCCATGGGTCCTTCGTGCCTTTTTTTTGTTCTTGCGGCTTCCTCCTCGGGATGTGGGCTCGATGGCTGGAACTCCTGCAGGCATCCTGGACCCTGAGGCAGCCTTGAGGCTGGAAAGCAGACAGCGGATGCAGAGTAAGAAGCCGGGAGTCTGGGTCCTGATCATTCGTGGAGCTTCCGCAGCAGCTGTGACTGTTGACCTTTGGCCTTCTTTTAGTTTGAAAGTTAATTTCCACTGATATTTTTAGTGTATGTTGTGGGAAGCTGAATGAAATTCGTGAAAAAGCAGAGGTGACTATGTCCCCCTCCCGTTAAGTACTTAGCCCACAGTGCTAACCCCCAGGAACCCAGCCCCTTGGCCCAGATGACTGGAGGTGGAGGGGGGACACCCAATTCCAAAGGAACCCCCCGGAAGCTGGGCGGGACCAATGCAGTTGTTGGACGTGAGACCCAGGGGCCTTGCTGAGGAGCTGGTGGGGAGAGAGGAGAATGGTGCATGGGGTGGGGTCCCACGTAACCCAGAGAGGGAGGGAGAGCCTTCTCGGCCCCATGCAGCCTGGCTTTCCTTCTGCGGAGGTCTGTGGACCCCTAACCCAAACCTAGCTTTCTCGTCGCTGCCTCAGCTGTCACCTGCAGGGAAGGGAGGAGGCTGCAGATGGAGTTTAGCGACAAGGCCAATGAATCCAGTCGTGCTATGCAGTGAAACACCAGTAAGAACCTGGACACCGAGGCGCAGAGGCGCTTCCTGGCTGCTGAACACGATGATGTGCTGGGAGGGTGATGCACCCCAACTGCAAGGGAACAGGGCCCGGAGCTCTGCGTCCCCGACCGGCCCGGCCCTCGCCCTGTGCGTCTCCATTCAACCAGTCCCGAGTTGTGTCCTTTATAAGACTGTGATCCACATACAGCACTTTCCTGAGTTCTGTGAGTCATTTCAGTGAATTATGAAACCTGACGGGGTCATGGGAACCTCCAGGCTTGTAACCAGTTTGTCAGAAGTGTGGGTGGCCCGGGGACCCCACTTGTGAATGTGGCTGACGTGGGAAGTGGGTAGTCTTTCTGGGGACGGAGCCCTTAACCCTGGGGGGTCTGAGCCTAACTCTGGTGGCTGGTGTCCGAGTGCAGGGCACCAGCTGGTGTCAGAATGGGGACAAAAAAGGGGGCTGGATTTTTGCTGTAACCATTTGTACTTTTTTTTTAAAGTATATCTTACAACTAAATACATGATGTTACAACAAAGATATTTAACTCCGGGAGAGACAAATACTTGAACATGAAACGCGGTCTAAGCACAAAGTAACTACCGTGCAGCAGGACTTTCAGCACCTCAGGGAGCTTAAGAAAAAAGCCCTTTTCCAGCCTCCTTGGAGAAGGGGGGCCTAATGCTTTCCACTTGTGTTGTGTGTTGTTGCAGCCTTTTTCTTTGTTTTGTTTGATTTCGCCAACTAGCCTTGAGCACGCAGACCTCTGACCCCGGGATTCTGAAACGCTGTGTCTCACCTGGTGAGAGGAGACACAGGTGTCCTTAGGCTGGGAGAGGGCTTCCCATTTTGGAAGCTGGGCCAGTGCAGGGGACTCGGGCCCTGGGTGCGTTTGCCTCACGCAGGAAGGGAAGGCTGTTCAGACGCCCGGCAGGAGGGCCCAGAGGCGCTGGCAGAAGCAGCTATCACCAGGCCATCCTTCCGCGGGTCAGCGGCCCCTCCCCTCCAGACCCCCCGTCCGCAGGGCTGTCTGTCTTCTCTTTGCATCCTCCTTTCTCCTCGGGGCCTCCTGTTGCACAAAACAGAAAAAGAGAAGGAAAGCACTCGGCAGGTTGTTCTTCTGTGGCCACAGGCGGTTACAGAGCATCAGCGCTGGACCGAGCTGGAGATGTGTCGGGAAAGCCTGCAGACCAATGGAGGAGGCGAGCTCAGCTGGGTGCGCGTCTCAGCTCCTGACTCATGGGCCGTGGGGTTCAACCTGGCGTGTGCTCTGGGTCCATCACCTGTGTCAGACGGGCATCACGGTCGTCCTTCCCTGCAGGTGATGCTCGTGTGGCCAACCCTCCCCCACTGCAGCTGCCCCTCTGCTCCTGTGCTGCCCTGGTCACTTGTCCTCTGCGGAGAGAGGCTCGGTCTGCCGGTTCGGTGTCAGGTCCACCGCGGTCACGTCCAGCTTCAGCCGCTCAGGCAGGTCCCAGCGAAGCGGCAGGAAGGCGCAGGTGGCCTCCCCAGGAGGACGGTGTGGCCCAGCATCACCAGGGCAGCCCTCAGCTACTCAGTGGCTGCCACTGCTCCCTCCACTTTGGGCCTCAGGTAGCTCTGAGGAATGGAGGGGAGGCTGGCGTCCTGGGAGCCAGGTGTACCCGGGACCCTGCAGGGTGGGCCTGGCGAGCTGTTCCCTTCCCCTCTTTATCTCAGACCACCTACCTGGGCTCAGAGAGTTGTCGTTTGTGCCAGGAGTACCTTAGAGTTGAAATAGCTGTCGCCCCTTTCATTTCTGCCTGTAGCTGCCTTAGCACTGGCTTCATGGAGCTGGATGGGGGACCAAGCTCGGTGGGAAATGCCCGCCTGTCACCTCCAGCCCACCCCGTCAGCGAGAAGAGCCTGAGTGCCCGTCCTGGACCCGCGGCCAGGGCTGCTGTGAGGGAGGAGGGTCTCGGCTGTGTTTAAAGCATTGAAAGTATTTCGGTTAGATGTACAAAGTTCCTATTTCTGCCCTTGACAAATGTCGTTAAAGGATTCGGTGGCATTCCTGGAGCCTTCGGAGCAAGGATCCCACCCTAGCCAGGACTGGGTACTTACCCCAAGGTGCCTTCCACCTTTCTGCAGAGAGCGATTAACCCCTTCTGCGTGCTGAGCCCGGGCTGCCTGGATGACGAGGCACAGTGACACGCTCGCTGCCCATCCGCCAGCTCTCCTGGAGACCTGGATCCGGGTCTCGGTCCATTGCCACCTTCAGAGTAGAACCTTCTTGTGCTCCTGTGACTTAGCATGTCACTGGAAGAGGCCCCAGTCATGTCACTCTGTAGGTTAGCATGTCACTGGAAGAGAGCTCACTCATGCTCCCTGTAGATGTGTCACGTAATGAGAAGAGGAGGTAGTCACATCACCCCGTAGGTGTCATGTGCCCCTGGGGAGGCCATACGTTCCTCTGTGGGTGCAGTGAGCTCTTAGGATAATGACGTGTTCATGGCACCCTGTAGGTGTCGCGTGCTGCTGGGAGAGGTGACCATAGGGAGGGTTGGGGTCGTCCATGGCATGGAGTTGGCAGCTCTGCCTCCGAGGGTGTATTCAGGGCTCTCCCTAGGAACAGGGTGACAGCCATGCTGGAAAAGCCAGCAGGCTCTGGGGACAGTCTGGAGGTGCCACAGCCACCCTGCAGCCATCCTCGCTGCCTAGGACGCTGCTATGAGCCTGAGGTTCAGTCCAAAGCAGTGTCAGTGCCAGGCGGCCACTTCCACTGAAAATCAGTATATTCCATTTCCTCTGGATACACTACATATATTAGCATAGCATTTCACTATGTTATGGGGGTTTGTGGCAAGGTAGTGTTGAGAGTTGGCCCTTAAGGCAAAAAAGAATGAATAAGAGGAAAAGCCAACAGCCAATATTCTCGCCCTCCCTCCTCCAGCCCCGCCGAGGTTTCCAGCACCGTCTTATTTACGGGGATTGATATTTTTCTTTCATTGAATTGCTTTGTCTCTTTTACTTAGACTAGAAACATCCTGGGTGGGGACGGCCTGACGCCCTGTCCCCAAGCAGAGCCAGCAATAACCACTTGCTTTAAAGAAATGCACCATCATCGCCTGCACAGCGGAATAATGCATGAACATCCTCGAAAGGGAGAAAACCCAAAGCACACGTATCCCCTCTCGGGACCCCTGCCCTGTGGGGACAGGAAGTGAGCCCCTCTGCAGGCGTTCTCAGGCAAAGTGGGTGCCAAGCTAGAAGGGGCTCGGGATGTCTCCTCCCTTCCCCCCAAACCTTGGCTGCTAAAAAGCATCATCCTTAGTTTTAATTTTGGCAGGGACCTGGACCAAGAG